TAGCCTGCAAGTTACCAAGTGCAATATCAGTAACAGATACAGTAATCTTACAATAAAATAAGTCCAAGTAAATCCCTTTTACTACTGGGTAAAACCATGCATCATATCAAATAGATCAGATATTTGTTCATAAGCTTACTGAGTAGAAAACAGCTAATAACCCCATACTCAGTTTTAGCTTCCAAGCACTTGAGTCTTTAACCAGTGCAAGAGAATATGCTCCATTCAGAATCAGACCAAAGAAAGCTTGGTAAAACATTACAATAAATAGTGCAGGGAACTCCACGAGGAGGAATGCCTGAAAAGTATTCAAAGGAAGCAAAATGAGATTCTCTATTTCAGTTGCCTTTTTAAATTGCAAGAAGGGGCAGTGACCTAACCTGTACCATGCTGATCCTGTAAGAGCTTCAGCTGCAAGAAAAACTCCTCCAAGGATCCAGTTTAATTGTGATGAGGAAATAAGTTGATGAAGTGGGACATTAAGTGATGGTTTCATCAAGATCAGTGGCCCCTTACTGTCACAAGAAATGCGCCTATGTTTGATACCAAGGTTCCAGAGCCTTTGCTCGGCTGCTGTTGCTTCTCCAGTCTAGTTTTTCCATCCTAAACCACAATTTGGAACAATGTGCTTATCAAAAAAAAAAAAAAAAAAAAAAAAAAAGGGACAATGTAATTTCAGCAAACAGCATTAAAAATGTGAAACTCAAATATTAACTTCACTGATTTCTCTCTCTCTCTCTCTCTCTCTCTCTCTCTCTCTCTCTTTTCCTGTAATCAGAATTGCTGTTAAAAGCATCTTAGCCTGCGGAATTAAGAGAAAAGAACCTGAAAATGATGGAAAGCATGAAAGTAAAAGCTGGAACAAGGTTAAACATAGCTGCTCCAAGTGCTGGAGAGCTGTACTTGATACCAACAAATCCACATATCTGGGAAGCAGTTCTGAAGGGCAAAATAACAATTAGTCAATTAGAAATGTAAATAATAAACTTGTGTTCTAGAAAATCAAGTAAAGCAACTAAGGCCTGCAATTGAAAGAGAAGAAAAGCTACAAAATATACAAAAGTGCATAGAGATGATGTTACAAACCCAATCAAGGCTAGCAAGAATATTCTCCAGAGAATGGAGAGGGTGATGGATGGACACGCTGTTCTGCCAACCATTAGAGGCCAAAATCAAAAATCATAATTTTTTGTGGTAGATATATTACAAAATCAGAATTAATCTTGAGGACGGAGAAATGGATGTGGACCTATGGAATAAGAAAGAACAAGAAAGAAAAATGAGGGTTGCAAGGGCATTGGAGTAGAGTATAAGAATATATTGGTTCAGTCCTCCAGACATGGCTGCTTTGCATACCACCATATTGCTAACTTGAGCAAGAATTCGCAGCACCATTCCCACAAAAGGAAGTAGAGCCCCCATGCTGTAAACTTCCCTCTCCCTTTCTCTCTCTTGAGATGCAGAAATATAAACTTCACATCAGCAAACCATCAGCAGATTTCATGTTCAAGAATTAAGAATGCAACAATGAAGGAGCACATTCATGGTGAACTAGCAGAAACTCATGACTTGTTCCTCTGCATTTTTAATAGTAATCATTGTTCCATTTTGCTTCTTATTTAATTATTGGTGCTATATGCAAAGTAAGAACCTTTTTTTCATAACTTTTACACGAAACCTTAATCTTAAAGTAATTAAATATCTGCCCCGCCAATGGGATGATGCATCTCATAGTATTTTAAATCTATGTTTACTTAATTGCTTAGTTTGCATCAAACTTTTGACCAGGTCCCCTAGCATGAAGGCCAGCACATGGTATGTTAAGTTTTTTATTCTGATAAGTACTATGATTCATCATAAAACTGCTACTGGAAATATTTATTTCAACAATTCAAATATATTTAACTCAAGTTGGCCATCCATCCCACACACTCCATGTTTTTTAAATTCATTATATCTTTTCGTCAATTAAGCAAAGATGATAAGTTTCATTTCCAATCCATCTCTCAAATTCAGTTTTGTAAGCTAGCAGTAGCTTTGAATTTTGTTGCAGTTTCAACTTCCGAGTTCCTAGTTTCTCTACCATGTTATACAAAAAGCGTAGATAGCCAGCTTCAACCTGAGTTGCAGTAGTAGCTAATCAGGACCATGTGGGTAATAAAAAATAATACTAATAAAGCATCTATATTGTGTTTTAGCTTTCCTTTCTAACATATAAATATTTATTACAATAAAGACAGTAAAGCAAGCCAGACAATTGATGTTTGATCATAATAGAAAAAAGTAAACGGCCATGAAAACTATGGCCCATCAAGTCACAAACCAAAGATGACTATTTTTAAGGTAAAGAAAAAAAGAAGAATCTAAGTTGTATCACTAAAAGATCCCAAAACAGGTTAAATAACGGATTACGCACCAGGAATGCTCCGATAAAGTTACTAAGCAATGGAACCAGAGATGATGAGACTCACCTAGAGAAAATAGCAAGAACAACATGAAACATGGGGTGAGATCAGACAATGCTGAGGCTAAGGTGGATGAGCTCTACCCCATAACATTATATGTAACAGCTGCACACAAGACCTGCCATAATTTAACATCACAGACCAGTCCTACACATGTAACTGCAAACCCCAAGATACCAAATTACACTTGATCCAAAAATAGAAGGAAAAACAATTTACCTAATCAGGGTCAAGGAGGAAGATTTTGCAGATGATGGAAAAAAGTAAGTTGGGAATGCACTCTTTTCCTGTTCTGAACATTAAACAAAAATCAAAGAACAATATATCAATAACCCAAAAAATATAAGAAAAGATGAATACTTGATGGTTGATAACACTATCCAAAAATGGAAGTTTTGTACAAGTTGAAGAAGGATGAGGGCGGCAAAGGCATTGCACTACTGCAGTAGATGATAAAGACAAAGTCACTCATGGCTCCGGTCATCGCCGCATTGCTATCAAACCCACGTCTAAGCACTCCACTAGCACACCATCACTTTCGTTACCACTAACCAGGAGTTGGATACTGGAATCCATTATTTCCTAACTGTTTGGACTGGAAATAGCCCATGTTCGTTAATGTGGAGCTTCGAAAAACATACAAAAGTCTGTTATGAGGGAGAGGTGTTGAATGGTCCAGCCCAAACAGAATTATGTTTCGGATCGTGGACTCCCTTCTTTTTTTTCTTTTTCTTTTTTTTTTTTTTGAATTTTCTTTACAAGATTGTAAAACAAAACCGTTATGGTGATATCCTCTAATAATTGAAATTATATAATATTTTTTTTATTTTTTAAAAATATTGTATAATCTAAAATCTTAATTATATAATATAAATGATTAGATAAAAACAATCTCTTAATATTAAGAGCTTTCTCTTGTAAAACAATAATTTATTAATTTTTTTTAAATATTAACTTTAAAATTTAAATACTAAATGTGACAATTAATAATATTTTTTTTATCTTGATTGCACAATAGAAAGTAATCATCTTTCATCACTTATCTCATCTCATCTGTATGTCATGTAATTCAAACTCAAAACTTTTTATTTTCAGTGAAAAGAAATAACCACTAAATTATTTAAATTATTGATACAATTAATAATACTTTAAACCCTTGAATTTACAAGTGGCAACTTTTAATTATGAATTTAATATATAAAAAAAGGGGAAAACTCACGAGATTGATCCGAATGATAAACAATGATGTCTTAGTACTAGTATGGTTTGAGTGCAGCTTTGAATCTCTTCATCAGTGTGGATTGATAGTTGTATGGTCCCCTCCTAACACATATAATGCAAAACTGAATAGAAAGCAACTTATGAGTGGTCCGTACGCAGAAACGACGAAGGGGAAAATTAAGGCAAAACATTATCACAGAGCAATGCTATAATATTCATCCATCAATTCCAGACGTAGGGCTGGATTGGGAGCATATGAATAAGAGACCGAGTATGAATATATACAAGGAGATGTTATATTGAATCTGAAAGACATATTTGATAAATTTATGAACATTCACATATATATTATATTTTAACATTTTGTTTTTTATTGGCATAATAAAATCTTTGTACATCATTCAATTCCATCCAAATGTTCATAGACTCTAACATTATTAACATGAAGATCTCAATATCTCTAAGTTTCAAGTTTGAGTCTTTCTTTCTCCTTGTCAGTTGTCACTAATTAATAAGTTCGAGTCTTGCTAAGAAAAGTATAACTTTGATTTAGTTTATTGCTAATTTTTGTTTGATTTGCTAAATGCATTCTATATGGAAGAAAAAAAAAATAAAATATATATATATATATATATCTGCTAGTTTAATGTGTTTTTCTTGGAAGCCGAGATATTTGCTAGTTGCTGTTGAGTCAGTGGCACATGACATGGGTTTTATCTTTACTTACACAAGTGGAAGTCACATGAAATTCAGCATCTAGGAACGAAGGTGATGTTGTCGTCTGGCTCTTTAGGGAAATAGAGGTGGCTGCCAAGGAGAGGGACAGAGACTGTGCAACCCAATGGCTGCTAGTAGCCTGGTAGCCAGCACATTACTATCATAATTCTATGATAATACAAAGAAACAAATTGGGAATTTTTTTTTTTTGGTAGGGGGGAGGGGGAAGTGTCTCCAGGATTTCAGAGGAGGGGGGCCAATATTATTGACACCTAAATTAAACTTGTGCCATTTCTTAAAAAAAAAAATGTATCCTAAAGTATTATTCCCTTTGTTTTGTTTTAGTTGTATTAATTTGATTTTTACATAAAATTTAATTTGGTGATTTTATATAGCAAACAAATAGCAATTAAAATTTTTTTTTCTTCCTAAATATAGTGCTTGTTAAATATTTTTACTTAGATTGAAAAAAAAATTTATTAACTATTATTCATCCGTTATATAAAATCATCAAATTAATTAACATAAAGTTGATGGAGTAAGACAATTAAATAGGACAAGAGGAACACATAGTTGCAAACTTGTCTCTTAAAACAATTAACTTGATTATGCCCAATGTGAAATATATTGTATTTTGAAACTTTTTGTAATTAGTAAATAATTATCTCATTGTATTTGTGAAAAAAAAAGGCAAAAAATAAAACATATCTAAAATAGTATGTAAAAATTTTAGAAACATATAAAAAATTGGTATAACCAATGATAAAATAAAACAAATAGATCTAATTTAAGAAAAAATTATAAGTTAGATGTGAAGTTTTAATATTTGATTTAGAAAGAAAATAGATATTAGTAACTAAAAAAAATATTTTAGATTAATCTTATGCACTAAAAAAGTGATAATCTGAAGTTTTCCAATAACAGAAGGGGGAGGACAAGGCAAAGAAATATTAAAAGTTTAGTAATTTTCTTATATATTTTTTTGGTTAAAAAGTAGTTTTTATATTTAACAGATTAACCTTAAAAACTCCGTAATTATTATGTGAACATTCTGTTTTGAACTTAATACAAGATTTATAAAAAAGACCAGTAACAATTATTTTCATATATATTAAAAATAATTAGGTGAATAAAAAAAAATTAAAGATAAAATTGATAAAATATAAAATTTGAGGACTAATTTTAAAGCCTTTCAAAATACCAGGGCCCCCTGGTCTCTCCATGGCTTCGCCACTGCTTAAATCCCTTTGTGCTTGCTTTAATGTTCAGAACTAAATACAGCTTGAAGTCTCTTAAAGTTTTGTAAATATCAAGACAACCCCGAGCAATGTTAATGTATTTTACATTTGCCCAAAAGGATCTGAATTTCCAAGGGGTAGCACATGACATGATATTATTGTGTTTTAGGGAATTTCTTGTGAATTAATGATTTTATGTGAGAAAAGAAAATTAGGGCATCTTTAACAAATCTCTTACCTCACATCAGAACATCCCTTGTAGGAACTCCAGGTCCCTGAGGGGATGAGGAGGCTCTTTCAATCCTCATCCTTGTCATGTGTGAATACAAGGATTCTCATGAAAATTTTTTTATATATAGAAGGTAATTTGTCTTTCATCTTAACCCCCATAGGTAACGAGGGATCATGAGAAATCTCCACAAAAATATATAAAAATTACTCTTTTTTTTTTGTGTAGTTATATATAAAAATACTTTGATTCATTCAATTTTTAGTTGAGAAAAAAAACTCAAAAGTATTTTAGAAAAAACAGTTATTTCTTAGTATTTTATTCTAGAAAATGAATTACATCAAATAAAATTGAGTAAGCTTTGCCTAAAAAAAAATAAAAAATTAAATTAAATTAAATTCAAATTAAGAGAAACCCATTAAATAAAGAAATGAGGTCAAGAGGGGATAAGGCAATAAAGAGGAGATACGCGAGAATCAAACTGTTTGTAGTAACCAACGAGAGGTTGGATTAAGTGGTAAACGGTTTGTTCTAGTTTAAGTAAGATCTTGAGTTTGAGACCTTGTGTACGCAGCAGCCTTTGTTAGGAGACTCACCCACCATTTTTAGGTGCGCAACGCGGATCGAGTCCGAATTAATCAGAACAAAACCTCGAATACCAAGCGAGAAACTGAAAAAAAAAAAAAAAAAAACTGTTTGTAGTTAGGATACGTGAGTTTGATAATTAAGACATTGGAGTTTGTGATAATAAAAAAGTAGGGATCAGTTTGTATTTGA